TACCCGAGCTGAGAGGTATGAGCTACGAGGTGAGACTACGGGAATTAAACCTCACTTCGCTGGAAGACAGAAGAGTTAGGGGGGACATGATCACCACATTCAAGATTCTGAAGGGAATTGATAGGGTAGATAAAGACAGTCTATTTAACACAAGGGGACACAGGTGGAAATTGAGTACCCAAATGAGCCACAGAGATATTAGAAAGAACTTTTTTAGTGTCAGAGTGGTGTACAAATGGAATGCATTAGGAAGTGATGTGGTGGAGGCTGACTCCATACACAGTTTCAAGTGTAGATATGATAGAGCCCAATAGGCTCAGGAATCTGTACACCTGTTGATTGATGGTTGAGAGGCGGGACCAAAGAGCCAGAGCTCAACCCCCGCTAACACAACTAGGTGAGTACACACACACACACACATCGGATGTGATCGGACTCACTGAAACAAAACTCTCTGGAATCATAACGAATGCCGTGTTTCCAAAGGAGTACACAGTAATAAGGAAAGAGAGGGAAGGTAGGGGAGGAGGCGGAGTGGCCCTACTCATGAGAAAGGAATGGAGTTTTAAGGAGATGGCCATCCCGGGCTGTGAGGAATTCAGAGACTACATAGCAGGCACCATAACACTGGGAGGACCAAGAATAGTAGTAGCATTAATATACAACCCTCCACCAAATGACAGAAGACCCAGTCAAGAGTATGAAAACAACAACATGGCAGTTAACACTGTAATTGAGAGGGCAGCCTCTGCTGCCTGTAGAAATAGATCCCACCTGCTCATCATGGGCGACTTCAATCACGGAAGGATTGACTGGGAGAACAAGGAACCGCATGGAGGCGAGGATACGTGGAGAGCCAAACTATTGGAGGTGGTGACAAGAAACTTTTTAACCCAGCATGTCGGAGAACCCACAAGGATGAGAGGCAATGATGAACCAGCGAGACTCGACCTAGTCTTCACTCTGAACGACTCCGACATAAGAAAAATCGGTTTTGAGGACCCAGTAGGAATGAGCGACCACAGTGTACTGGTGTTTGAGTACTTGATTGAAGAAGGGTTATTGAACTCGAGGAGGGATACCGAAACCAAAAGGTTAGCATACCGAAAGGGGAACTATGAGGGGATAAGAAAATTCCTAACAGATATAGCATGGAAAACAGAGCTCAGGGGAAAGACGGCCCAAGATATGATGGATTACATCACACAGAAGTGCAAGGACGCAGCAAACAAGTTTGTCCCAGTCCAAAAGGAAAACAGAGAAATGAAAATGAGAAACCCATGGTTTAATCAGAGATGTGGGCTAGCTAAGCAGCAAAGTAATAGGGCATGGAGAAACTATAGGAATAACAGGACACTGGAGAGCAGAGAAAGATACCAGAATGCCAGGAATGAATATGTCAGGATGAGAAGAGAGGCAGAAAGGCAATACGAAAATGACATCGTAAGCAAGGCAAAGACTCAGCCTAAATTGTTGCATAGCCACATCAGGAGAAAAACAACAGTAAAGGAACAGGTTATGAAATTAAGGATAGGGTCGGAAGGATTCGCTACAAATGACAAGGAAGTGTGTGAGGAATTGAATAAGAAATTCCAGGAGGTCTTCACCTTAGAGCAAGGAGAAATTCCAGAGGTAAGTGTGGGAATAGCTAACCAGGAACCACTGGAATAGTTTGAGATTACCAGCGGGGAAGTAAGGAAGTGTTTACTAAAGTTGGATGTGACAAAGGCTATAGGCCCAGATGGAATCTCCCCTTGGGTTCTAAAGGAAGCAGCAGGAAAACTGTGCCTACCACTCTCCATAGTGTATAACAAATCACTGGCAACAGGGGAACTGCCAGATATTTGGAAAGCAGCTAACGTAGTCACGATATACAAGAAAGGGGATAGACAGGAGGCACTGAACTACAGGCCTGTGTCCCTAACCTGCATACCATGCAAGCTGATGGAGAAGATTGTGCGAAGAAAACTAGTGGAGCATCTGGAGCGAAGGAACTTTGTAACACAGCATCAACATGGGTTCAGGGATGGCAGGTCCTGCCTCACAGGGTTACTTGAATTCTACGACCAGGCAACAAAAATAAGGCAAGAAAGAGAAGGGTGGGCAGACTGCATATTTTTTGATTGTCAGAAAGCCTTTGATACAGTGCCACACAAGAGGCTAGTGCGAAAGTTGGAGACGCAGGCTGGAGTGAAAGGGAAGGTACTCCGGTGGATAGAGGAGTACCTAAGCAACAGGAGACAACGAGTCTGTGTGAGGGGTGAGGTCTCAGATTGGCGAGACGTTACAAGTGGAGTCCCGCAAGGGTCAGTCCTTGGACCTATACTGTTTCTGGTATATGTAAATGATCTCCCAGAGGGTATAGATTCGTTCCTCTCAATGTTTGCCGACGATGCAAAAAATATGAGGAGCATTGAAACAGAGGATGATAGTAGGAGGCTACAAGATGACCTAGATAGACTGAGTGAATGGTCCAACAAATGGCTGTTGAAGTTCAACCCGAGTAAATGCAAAGTAATGAAACTAGGCAGTGGAAACAGGAGGCCAGACACAGGATACAGAATAGGAGATGAAGTACTTAATGAAACAGAGAGAGAGAAAGATCTAGGAGTTGATATCACACCAAACCTGTCTCCTGAAGCCCACATAAAGAGAATAACGTCTGCGGCATATGCGAGGCTGCTAACATCAGAACGGCGTTCAGGAACCTGTGTAAGGAATCATTCAGAATCTTGTACACAACATATGTAAGACCAATCCTGGAGTATGCGGCCCCAGCATGGAGCCCGTACCTTGTCAAGCACAAGACGAAGCTGGAAAAAGTCCAAAGGTATGCTACTAGACTAGTCCTAGAACTAAGAGGCATGAGTTATGAGGAAAGGCTGCGGGAAATGCACCTTACGACACTGGAAGACAGAAGAGTAAGGGGGGACATGCTCACAACCTACAGAATCCTCAGGGGAATCGACCGGGTAAACAAGGATAAACTATTCAACACTGGAGGGACGCGAACAAGGGGACACAGGTGGAAGCTGAGTACCCAAATGAGCCACAGAGACATTAGAAAGAACTTTTTCAGTGTCAGAGTAGTTAGTAAATGGAATGCACTAGGAAGTGATGTGGTGGAGGCTGACTCCATACACAGTTTCAAATGTAGATATGATAGAGCCCAGTAGGCTCAGGAATCTGTACACCAGTTGATTGACGGTTGAGAGGCGGGACCAAAGAGCCAGAGGTCAACCCCCGCAAGCACAATTAGGTGAGTACACACACACACACACACACACACACACACACACACACACACACACACACACACACACACACACACACACACACACACACACACACTGGTCAGAGAAATGGCTACTGGAGTTTAACACCAGTAAATGTAAAGTTATGGAAATGGGATCAGGTGACAGGAGACCAAAGGGACAGTACACAATGAATGGGAACAACCTACCTGTAACGATTCGAGAAAGAGACCTGGGAGTGGATGTGACACCTAATCTAACTCCTGAGGCACATTTAAATAGGATAACGACAGCAGCGTACTCTACACTGGCGAAAATCAGAACTTCATTCAGAAACCTAAATGAGGAGGCTTTTAGGGCGCTTTACACTGCCTACGTGAGACCCGTCTTAGAGTATGCCCCGCCATCATGGAGCCCCCACCTGAAGAAACACATAAAGAAACTGGAGAAGGTTCAGAGGTTTGCGACGAGGCTTGTCCCAGAGTTACGAGGGATGGGATATGAAGAGCGTCTGAAGGAACTGAACCTTGCGACACTAGAGAAAAGAAGGGGGAGAGGAGATATGATAGGGACATATAAAATACTCAGGGGAATTGACAAAGTGGAAATAGATGAAATGTTCACACGTAATAATAACAGAGCGAGGGGACATGGGTGGAAACTGGAAACTCAGATGAGTCACAGAGATGTTAGGAAGTTTTCTTTTAGCGTGAGAGTAGTGGAAAAATGGAATGCACTTGGGGAACAGGTTGTGGAAGCAAATACTATTCATACTTTTAAAGCTAGATATGATAGGGAAATGGGACAGGAGTCATTGCTGTAAACAACCGATAGCTGGAAAGGCGGGATCCAAGAGTCGATGCTCGATCCTGCAAGCACAAATAGGTGAGTGTACACACACACACACACACACACACACACACACACACACACACACACACACACACACATATTTGCGGGCCCAAGAGGGCCCGCGCAAAACCCAGTGCGAGCCAAGAGGGCCCGCGCAAAACCCAGTGCGAGCCAAGACGGCCCTCAAAGCACGCGGGCCAAGAGGACCCTCAAAGCACGCGGGCCAAGAGGACCCTCAAAGCACGCGGGCCAAGAGGGCCCTCAAAGCACGCGGGCCAAGAGTATCCTCAAAGCACGCGGGCCAAGAGTATCCTCAAAGCACGCGGCCCAAGAGGGCCCGCAAAGCACGCGGGCAAAGAATACCGCGCCACAGCCGTGTTAGTCCCCCACGAGACTAATGCTTACCCGAGACTCGTCTTCGGGGTCCATGGGGCCCATGACCCTACCCCGGACTTGTCGTCGTCAAGTCGACCCATTCCATAACCATTTTCATTTGAAACCCCAATTGAGGTATGAGTGAAATGGTCATTGGGGTCATTTCTTTTACTTTTTACTGTCATTTTTGTTTTTTTCATTTTGCTTGCTTTTGTTTTCGGCAGCTTTTGCCTTTGCTTTTTCACTTTTTGCCATTGCTTTTTTGTTTTTTACTGGTTATTCCTATTCCACAACTTTTGGTTTACGTGGAGCTCCCTGCACCTTTTTCTCTGGCGCGTTGTCTATCCATACTTAGGGTGGGATTTGCCCATAAAATATTTTTTGTTCAACTGGAGCCTTGGGAGGATCTGAAGATGGCGGGGCTGTCTTAGGGCATCTTACAGCCTGTGGAGGGCGTTTAAACTTTGGGATTTTTGGTGGAAGCTCATATCTTCTTACTGGAAGACCGTATTGGTAGGCCTACGATGCCTCGTCAAGGCCATCAGTGTCTGCTGGCGATGCCTTGTCAGGGCCATCAGTGTCTGCTGGCGATGCCTTGTCAGGGCCATCAGTGTCTGCTGGCGATGCCTTGTCAGGGCCATCAGTGTCCGCTGGCGATGCCTTGTCAGGGCCATCAGTGTCCGCTGGCGATGCCTTGTCAGGGCCATCAGTGTCCGCTGGCGATGCCTTGTCAGGGCCATCAGTGTCCGCTGGCGATGCCTTGTCAGGGCCATCAGTGTCCGCTGGCGATGCCTTGTCAGGGCCATCAGTGTCTGCTGGCGATGCCTTGTCAGGGCCATCAGTGTCCGCTGGCGATGCCTTGTCAGGGCCATCAGTGTCTGCTGGCGATGCCTTGTCAGGGCCATCAGTGTCCGCTGGCGATGCCTTGTCAGGGCCATCAGTGTCCGCTGGCGATGCCTTGTCAGGGCCATCAGTGTCCGCTGGCGATGCCTTGTCAGGGCCATCAGTGTCCGCTGGCGATGCCTTGTCAGGGCCATCAGTGTCTGCTGGCGATGCCTTGTCAGGGCCATCAGTGTCTGCTGGCGATGCCTTGTCAGGGCCATCAGTGTCTGCTGGCGATGCCTTGTCAGGGCCATCAGTGTCTGCTGGCGATGCCTCGTCAGGGCCATCAGTGTCCGCTGGCGATGCCTTGTCAGGGCCATCAGTGTCCGCTGGCGATGCCTTGTCAGGGCCATCAGTGTCTGCTGGCGATGCCTTATCAGGGCCATCAGTGTCTGCTGGCGATGCCTTGTCAGAGCCATCAGTGTCTGCTGGCGATTCCTTGTCAGGGCCATCAGTGTCCGCTGGCGATGCCTTGTCAGGGCCATCAGTGTCCGCTGGCGATGCCTTGTCAGGGCCATCAGTGTCTGCTGGCGATGCCTTGTCAGGGCCATCAGTGTCCGCTGACGATGCCTTGTCAGGGCCATCAGTGTCTGCTGGCGATGCCTTGTCAGGGCCATCAGTGTCTGTTGGCGATGCCTTGTCAGGGCCATCAGTGTCTGCTGGCGATGTCTTGTCAGGGCCATCAGTGTCTGTTGGCGATGCCTTATCAGGGCCATCAGTGTCTGCTGGCGATGCCTTGTCAGGGCCATCAGTGTGTGCTGGCGATGCCTTGTCAGAGCCATCAGTGTCTGCTGGCGATGCCTTGTCAGGGCCATCAGTGTCTGCTGGCGATGCCTTGTCAGGGCCATCAGTGTCTGCTGGCGATGTCTTGTCAGGGCCATCAGTGTCTGCTGGCGATGCCTTGTCAGGGCCATCAGTGTCTGCTGGCGATGTCATGTCAGGGCCACCTTTTTCCGCTCTCGATGCCTTGGAAGGGCCACCTTTTTCTGCTTGCGATGTCTTGGCAGGGCCACCTTTTCCCGCTCTCGATGCCTTGGAAGGGCCACCTTTTTCTGCTTGCGATGCCTTGGAAGGGCCACCTTTTTCTGCTTGCCATGTCTTGGCAGGGCCAAGTTTTTCCGCTCTCGATGCCTTGGAAGGGCCACCTTTTTCTGCTTGCGATGTCTTGGCAGGGCCAGCAGTGGCTGCTGGCGCTGCCTTGGCAGGGCCACCTTTTTCCGCTCTCGATGCCTTGGCAGTGCCACCTTTTTCTGCTTGCGATGCCTTGGAAGGGCCACCTTTTTCTGCTTGCCATGTCTTGGCAGGGCCAAGTTTTTCCGCTCTCGATGCCTTGGAAGGGCCACCTTTTTCTGCTTGCGATGTCTTGGCAGGGCCAGCAGTGGCTGCTGGCGCTGCCTTGGCAGGGCCACCTTTTTCCGCTCTCGATGCCTTGGCAGTGCCACCTTTTTCTGCTTGCGATGCCTTGGAAGGGCCACCTTTTTCTGCTTGCGATGTCTTGGCAGGGCCACCTTTTCCCGCTCTCGATGCCTTGGAAGGGCCACCTTTTTCTGCTTGCGATGCCTTGGAAGGGCCACCTTTTTCTGCTTGCGATGTCTTGGCAGGGCCACCAGTGGCTGCTGGCGATGTCTTGGCAGGGCCATCTGTGGTCTCAAAACGGTCGGACCCCTGTCCAGTGATGTCTTTGGGCATTTTGTTGGGTACCTGGCCACGCTTGTCCTTTACCTTCTGCGCCTAAGCACGTTTTTTATCTAATTTTTTATTTTTTATTTCCGTCATAAACGCCTCTATATCACTTTAACATTTTTCTGCCTTTTGTTTTTCGCCGAACACTTCCACAGTGTTGGTGCCACCGCCCAATTTGAGAAACACGTCGTGCTTTTTTTCGTACATGCTTATGAGTTTCATTTGGTAATATTATGGGCACTGAGCTGTCAGTTTGATCAACTCGGTGGGGTCGTCTTCTTGGCATTGTATCTTTTGTGGGCGGCGACGTTTCTTGGGGCAGGCTTTTGACTTTTTGTCTTTTGGTTCCTTCATAACTTTTTTGGGGGAGTCGGATTTGCTTTCTTCTTCTTTTGTACTAGTGTTTACGTCCATCTCCTCGTGAGGGAGCATGAGAGGCTCCTCATCATTTTGAGATACTTCATACTACTTATCCTCACTTGCGATGACATTCTTTTTGGCTTCCTCGTGAGGGAGCATGAGAGGCTCCTCCTCATTTTCAGATACGTCATACCACTTGTCTTCACTTGCGATGACATTCTTTTTGGCTTCCTCGTGAGGGAGCATGAGAGGCTCCTCATCATTTTGAGCAACTTGATGCCGATTGTCATCGTTCTGACGCTATTAAATGTGTTTTTTCTTCCGGCCCCACAAAATCTTTACGACCCATATTAATTGCTGAAGTAGTAACAGCAGGGAAGTGATAGGCAAACATTCGGACCAATGACCATATTGGCTATCGTGGTTTTGTGGCTCCTCGCCCACCTGTAGCAGGAACGAACGCAAGCCCTCCACCTGCCGGCTTGAATGCTGGAGGCGTACAAACTAAGACACAGGTGGCACCGACTGCCACACTGGCATAGCAAGGCGGTCATCGAATAGCGTATGAGGACACCTTGGCACTGGCGAGAAACCGACTAAACCTTTTGCTAATCCGCTAGCAAGGCTTCTAACACCGTTCTAGCGGGTCTGCCAGTCGGCAACCTGCTTCCTGAGCCCGTGGAGGTGGTCACCCACCAGGGCTTGCTGCCACCCCAGCCACCATTACGTACATACGAGCACGAAGAACACCACCAACAACGAGAAGTTTAGAACGATTTTGAGAGACATTTTGTTTTAAACAAAATGTGTGAGCGAGTATAATTTACTGATTTATTTTTAGGAAATGGGTATAATTAACTGCTTTATATTTAGGATGAAACCCGTTATTAGCATGGATAGAATGGCTGTGTGTGGTTGGTGAAGCAAGAATAGTAAGGATGGAATTGGCGGGTAGGGGATGGGATTAGTGACATCTCAACATCTCAACACTCCAAGCTGACCCTCCAAGCTGACCACTCCAAGCTGACCACTCCAAGCTGACCCCTCCAAGCTGACCCCTCCAAGCTGACCCCTCCAAGCTGACCACTCCAAGCTGACCCCTCCAAGCTGACCCCTCCAAGCTGACCCCTCCAAGCTGACCCCTCCAAGCTGACCCCTCCAAGCTGACCCCTCCAAGCTGACCCCTCCAAGCTGACATTAACATTCCTTCAAGTTAAGCTGTGATAGTCTAGGGTTCGGGCGACCTTAACTCTCTCGACAGTCATGGGACATTTCGTCAGTAAATTCTCACTTCGCTGTCAATCAGTTGTGTAATAGCCAGGTGTATAGTTATTACACGACTACGGCGAGGTATGTTGTTGTTTTAGATATAGCTATTCAGAACAGTGTTCATGTAGCACGGGCTATGGTGATCCCGTAAACGGCGAGGTATATAGCAGTCAGCTTTATACATGTCGAGGGCATCAAAGTCAGGTGTGTAGAGCCAGGTATAGCTAACGACATAACAAATACTTTCCAGAGTTTACCTTTACTTCTCTCCCTCAATCTTCCCTTCCTGTCACTCTTTCAACCCTGTCAAACTTTGTTACATTTTCCTTCTCTCTCCCTGTCTATATCCCAATAACACACACCCCGTCACACTGTCACTCTATCCTCTGTCTCTTATTATCGTACACGCTCTGGGTCTGTCTACCAACATTCATCTTGTGGCCGCATACTCCCTCTCTCCATCAACCAGAAGAGACAACTCTACCCATTATCTTTTTTCAAACGGATTTGATTCCCAATCAGATCTTAGAAGTGGTTGAAATGTGGATATTTACAATTCAACACCTCTCAACCCCTGGGTGCTAAACTCTCTGCTCTCTCTCCCTCAAAACCATTTTGTTTTCAGAAGAGAGGGATATAATTTTGTTTTCTTGTTTTTGTCTCTGTTCTTCGTCAAACTTTCTCGACCGCTGTACGGCTCGCTTAAGGGAACCAATTAGCAGCCGCCTCGCTCTGCCATTTTCCTCTTCTCATTCCATGCCTATTTTCACCCAGTCCAGCCTATTTCCACCCAGCGGACCCTGTTCTTGCCTAGCCCAACCATCTTGCCCATTTCGAACCATTCCTTTCCCTTGCCTATGTCACACTATCCTAGTCACGCTGATCCTAGCTCAAACATTCACTTCAGCGCCTTGACTCGAATCAAGGTAAACCAACTAAGTCAGGCTATGATAGTCCTATTCGAAATGACACAGCCAGTCAACCAGTCATCAGGTACTCCAGCCAGTTCAACCAGTCCACCAGTCACCAATCTAAAATAGCGTGTAGGAATTGTTGTAGCCCATTGCTAGAGATTTTGTGATGGTGGTGCAGGAGGTCCCCCTCGTTGACCAAAGCTCAACGAGGGGAAGTAGTGCCACTACCTGGTCCCAGGTTCAACGAGGGGAACACGGCCCCCAAAATCACGAATTGGGGAAGCTTGTGTCGAGGGTAAATCCTGATCTTTAGCTGGCTGTCTGGCTTGGTAGGGAGGGTGGTGGTGTTTAGCTGGCTTGGTAGGTTGGGTGGTGGGTAGCTGGCTGTCTGGCTTGGTAGGTAGGGTGATGGGTAGCTGGCTGTCTGGCTTGGTAGGTAGGGTGGTGGGTAGCTGACTGTCTGGCTTGGTAGGGAGGGTGGTGGGTAGCTGGCTGTCTGGCTTGGTAGGTAGGGTGGTGGGTAGCTGGCTGTCTGGCTTGGTAGGTAAGGTGGTGGGTAGCTGGCTGTCTGGCTTGGTAGGTAAGGTGGTGGGTAGCTGGCTCTCTGGCTTGGTAGGTAGGGTGGTGGGTAGCTGGCTGGAGGAGTGGCTTATCTGCATATCTGCACGTTACGGAGGGTGAAGGTGGCCCTTAACTGATTCTATATTAACTTCCAACTTTTCTTCCCCTGGGAGTGCAACCCCGAGAGCCACTGCCTTTCTGGTGGATTGCTGGGTTACTGGTGGATTGCTGGGTTACTGGTGGATTGGTGGGTCATTGGTGGATTGGTGGGTCATTGGTGGATTGGTGGGTCATTGGTGGATTGCTGGGTCATTGGTGGATTGCTGGGTCATTGGTGGATTGCTGGGTCATTGGTGGATTGCTGGGTCATTGGTGGATTGCTGGGTCATTGGTGGATTGCTGGGTCATTGGTGGATTGCTGGGTCATTGGTGGATAGCTGGGTTATTGGTGGGTCATTGGTGGATTGCTTGATCATTGGTGATTTCCTAGGTGGATCATGAGTGGATTCCTGAAAGATTGAAAGAAAATGGGACTCTTTAAATATGGGGTCTTTTGGACTGGACGGTAGGGCGCCGGTCTCGCTTTTTGCTGGTCGACGTTCAATCCCCGACCATCCAGTCCAGCCACTTGGACTGGATGGTAGAGCGACGGTCTCGCTCGTGCAGGTCGGCGTTCAATCCCCCGACCGTCCAAGTGGTTGGGCACCATTCCATCTCCCCCGTCCCATCCCAAACCCTTATCCTGACCCCCTTCCCAGTGCTATATAGTCGTAATGGCTTGGTGCTTTCCCCCTGATAGTTCCCTTCCCTTCCCCGACCATCCAAGTGGTTGGTCACCATTCTCCCATAGCCTCATTCCATCCGAGTGCTCTATAGTCTTAACGTAATTATCACAAGAAAGTGCTAAGCCGTTATCATACAGTTTCCTTCATAAGAGCTGTATCGTCATTTAAAAATGGCATAGAATCACGATTCTAAATAATGTGTACTAAAGGTAGTGTAGATGGTTAGTGATAATGGTCTTGTGTAGTGTAGATGGTTAGTGATAATGGTCGTGTGTAGTGTAGATGGTTACAGTGATAATGGTCGTGTGTAGTGTAGATGGTTACAGTGATAATGGTCGTGTGTAGTGTAGATGGTTACAGTGATAATGGTCGTGTGTAGTGTAGGTGGTTGCAGTGATAATGGTCTTGTGTAGTGTAGGTGGTTACAGTGATAATGGTCGTGTGTAGTGTAGGTGGTTGCAGTGATAATGGTCTTGTGTAGTGTAGGTGGTTGCAGTGATAATGGTCTTGTGTAGTGTAGGTGGTTGCAGTGATAATGGTCTTGTGTAGTGTAGGTGGTTGCAGTGATAATGGTCTTGTGTAGTGTAGGTGGTTGCAGTGATAATGGTCTTGTGTAGTGTAGGTGGTTGCAGTGATAATGGTCTTGTGTAGTGTAGATGGTTGCAGTGATAATGGTCTTGTGTAGTGTAGGTGGTTGCAGTGATAATGGTCTTGTGTAGTGTAGGTGGTTGCAGTGATAATGGTCTTGTGTAGTGTAGGTGGTTGCAGTGATAATGGTCTTGTGTTGTGTAGGTGGTTGCAGTGATAATGGTCTTGTGTAGTGTAGGTGGTTGCAGTGATAATGGTCTTGTGTAGTGTAGGTGGTTGCAGTGATAATGGTCTTGTGTAGTGTAGATGGTTGCAGTGATAATGGTCTTGTGTAGTGTAGGTGGTTGCAGTGATAATGGTCTTGTGTAGTGTAGGTGGTTGCAGTGATAATGGTCTTGTGTTGTGTAGGTGGTTGCAGTGATAATGGTCTTGTGTAGTGTAGGTGGTTGCAGTGATAATGGTCTTGTGTAGTGTAGGTGGTTGCAGTGATAATGGTCTTGTGTAGTGTAGGTGGTTGCAGTGAAATGGT